GCTGCTTGGCCTGCTGTGTTCATCCAGCTCTACACCTTGTTATCTCAAATTCTCCAGTATCTGCAGTTCCTACTATCTCTGAAATCCTATAAGAATCTTGAATATTTGAATAAGGTCACCTCTTAATCTTCTAAATTCCAATAAGCACAGGCCCAAGTTGCTCAACCTTTACTCATAAGGCAGTCCCTCCATCCCTGGTATCAACCTAGTACACCATCCCCTGACTGCCTACAATGCAACTATATATTTCCTTAGATAAAGACAAAATTGCTCTCAGATTCCAGCTGTGGTCTGACTAGTGCCCTGGATAGTTTTAACAAAACCTCCCTACTTTTATACTCCATTCCCTTTGAAATAAAAGCCATCATTCCATTTGCCTTCCTATTACCTGCTGAACTTGGATGCTAGCTTTTTATGATTCGTGCACAAGGACTCCCAAATCCCTCTGTTTTGCAGATTTTGCAGCCTTTCTCCATTTAAATAATATTCAGCCCCTCTATTCTTCCTGCCAGTTTATAACCTCATATTTCCCCACATTAAATGCCATTTGCTAAGTTTTTGCCACTCCCTTAATCCAGGTATATTCGCTAATGATTACACAATGTACAGCACAATTCATGACACCACACATACTGAAGTAGTCCATGTCCAAAAACATCAAGACCTGGACAATGTCCAGGTTTGGGTTGACAAGTAGCAAATAACATTTGCCTCTCACAAGTGCTAGGCAATGAACATCTCCAACACGAGAGAATCTAATCTTCACCCCTTGACATTCAATGGCACTACTATCACGGGATTCGCCCTATATCTAAAACCTGGGGGTTACCATTGACCAAAAACTGAACTGGAACAGCCACATAAATACTGTGGTTACAAGACCAGGTCAGAAATGTGAGACCCCCTGTCACCTCAAACCCTGTTTATCCTTTCCCAAGGCCAAGGTAGGAGTGCAATTAAATACTCTCCAACTACTTGGATTGTGCAGCTACAACAACATTCAACAAGCTTGACATCATTTGGGACAATGCAACCTGTTCATTTGGCACATCATCTACCATTCACTCCCTTCACCACCAATGCACATTGGCAGCAATGCGTACCTTTGACACCTCCACATCATTGACAAGATGTGCTGCAGTAACTCACCAAGGCTTATCAGACAGCACCTTCCACTCCCCCAACATTTACCACTAGGAGGGAAAGTTCAGCAAAAGCATGGGAACACTGCCACCTGCAATTTCTCCTCCAAGCTTTATTTCAACCTGACTTGGAACTAAAATAACATAAAGAACTGCAGATACCGGAAATCTGAAACAAACAGAAACATAAATTGTTTGGAAAATTCAGCATCTGTGGAGAGAAAACAGAGTCAATGTTTCAAGTCCAGTGACTCTTCTTAGAGCTTCCTTCCTAAAAGCACTTCTTACACTGCAAGGACTGCAGCTTACCACTACCTTCCCAGGGCAACGAGGGATGGAGAATAAAGATTGGCCTAGTCAGCAACACACAGACCTCATAAACAAATAAAAAAGGTAGGTTCATTAGCCTCATCTATATAGATTCTAATTTATCCTACGTAAAGTTATCTTCTATCGTGATTTCGCAATATTTCTGTTGGTCAGCAAACCAAAGGTTGCTCTCAACAGCAGTCCATCAAACACTCAGCCTAGAAGTTTCTGCCCATCAGCATGCACTCAGTTATGCTAATAGCCTTGTTCAGATGATCGTGGGGTGTTTGTATAAGGCTTATGGGTCTTAAAGGGTCAATAATGAGTAATGCTTTAAACATTCTTCTTTGAGCAAGAGGTTCTTTCATTAGACTAGGAAATGGTTTACCCTCAACCATACCAGACCAAGAGAGCCCTATGGATCTCTACCCCAAAAAAGGATGGTGGCAGCAAACCTACCAGAGTGCAACCATCATGGTGATCAGCAGCGAGGACTGCTCGTACAACTGGGGGAAGGGTCTCTTCCAGAAAAGAACAGATACCAGTGTGTCCTGAATTCATCATATTAGTACCACGCTATCACAATTCTGCTGAATGAATGGCAGGAGCCGCAATCTCACAGCTTTCATTATGTTACAGTCTATAGAAAAATACATTGCACTTACCTTCACAGCCCTTTTTGGTGTCTCAGCCAGGATGGGCGGTAAGATTCCTTTGTAAAAGCCAAGAATTCTAAAATGAGAAGGAAAAGACATATTTCTTCTTTAAGACTCAAATAATACAATATAGCTCAATATGTTGGCAATGTTGTTTTGTGGCTTGCTAACCTGAGTTTCTGACAATAACATTAATTTTTCTACTACCTTATAATGGTGAAAATCCTCATGACCAGTTTGATGAAAATCCACAATTGTTGTAACTTATTAAGGCAGTCAGTGGTTAGAAATTATTATCATATCTTCCCAACAAAGCAAATTGTACAATGCAAATTAGTCTCTAGGATAACTTAAATTTTATTCTCTGAATAATGCTTCCTTCACTGTCTATGTATTTTTCAACTCTCAGAAGTGATTAGGAGTAAAGGATGAGTTAAGGGAAAGGAGCTTAGTGAAATAATTTGCAGTTCAGAAAATAATCCACAGTTTATATTGCTTTCAAGGATGAACCTTGATTATTGGACAGTTTTGGCAGAGGAGTAGACCTTGGTATGTGGTTCAGGTAGATCCAGTAATGGCTAAGCTCTAGGTAGGTTTAAGACCACTCTTTTTAGACTTAAGGGAGCAAAGATTGAAGACCACAGGGGAATTGAACAGGATAGGAATCAGTAGTAGGAACAAGATAATTAATTGGAGAGGTGAAAGTCAGATCGAGCAAATTGACAACTGCTGAGTATTGTCAATAGAAGAACTTGAAAGTGAAATTATAAGCAATTAGTGGATTTTTTCCCCCGGGGAAAGTAAATGATGTTGCTAGGTGGACAGGAATATGTGGATTATGGCACGTACAAGAAATGGTCAGAAATGGCCTTCTCAGATGATTAATGTCACAAGGTTAGGGAGGGGACAGGAAACAGTGAGGTAAAGTGGGTGGTGACAAGAAAGGAGATTTTAATGGAGCCAAGGTAGCAGTGAATTAAGGAGAGAAATTAAAAGGAGAGTTGACATAGCACCATAGAGATGTACAGCACGGTAACAGACCCTTCAGTCCAACTTGTCCATGCCGACTAGATATCCTAAGTTAATCCATTCCAATTTACCAGCATTTGGCCCATGTCCCTCTAAACCCTTTCTATTCATATACCCATCAGCTATCTTTTAAATGTTGTAATTGTACCAGCGTCCACCACTTCCTCTGGCAGCTCATTCCACACAAGCACCAGTGTCTGCATGAAGACGTTGCCCCTTAGGTCCCTTTTAAATCTTTCCCCTCTCACCTTAAACCTATGCCCTCTAGTTTTGGGCTCCAGTACCCTGGGGAAAAGACCTTGACTATTCACCCTATCCATGCCCCTCATGATTTTATAAATTTCCATAAGGCCACCCCTCAGCCTCTGATACTCTAGGGAAAATAGCCCCAGCCTATTCAACCTCTCCCTTTTGTGACAATGCTGTCACTTTAAAAAGGTTACTTTGTCCTTGGTTTTTTTGAAGAGAGGTTGTAAAGGCAGAGGCACTGAACTGGCTACTGGAGACAGCCCAAGCAAGCAACTTAGGAGGCCTTAAGGTTTTTTTTTGAAAAGTTGGAACAATGGAAGTAGCTTAAATGGGAGTGGCCAGTTCTCACAGAACAGGCTTTCTAGTTTTTTTTAGCTTAAGCATTCAGAAGCTGTTTGGGGCCCAGAAGAGTTGAAGTTTTCAGTGAATGATTCCTAGCTGCTACTATCTCTGAAATCTCTTGTGATGTTTTTTCCTCCTGGATTGGAGAACTGCATGTAAGAATCTGTGTCTGCATTCACCTTTTTGCCAAGGGGTGTGTTTATGGGATGTTGCTATATTGGAACAGTTAACTAGTAATAGGTACTGTATCTATTATTTGGTTAAGTTTTCCAATAGTTAAGTTAGTCTCAATTCCTCCTTCTTTTGTATTTTAACTATAGTGTTTAAATAAATTCTGTTTTGCTTAACATCGAGTAGTTTGAACATTCGCATCACATCTGGGATATGCACTTCACATCTACCTTTAAAATAAGAAAAAATTAGGGTCTAGGTGACCTTAAAATATTTTGAGGGGGTCTGGCCAACTACAGCTCAAGCCTGGCAACATCCTTGTAAATCTTTTCTGAACCCTTTCAGGTTTCACAACATCGTTCCTATAGCCAGGAGACCAGAGTTGAATGCATAATTCCAAAAGTGGTCTAACTAATGTCCTGTCCCGCTGCAACATGACCTCCCAACTCCTATACTCAATACACTGACCAACAAAGGCAACCGCACCAAATGCCTTCTTCACTATCCTCTCTACCTGCAACTCCACTTTCAAGGAACTAAGAACCTGCAATGCAATGTCTCTTTGTTTGGTAATACACCCCAGTTCTTTACCATTAAGTGTATACGTCCTGCCCTTGATTTGCCCTGTCAAAATGTAGCACCTCACATTTATCTAGATTAAACTCCATCTCCCACTCATCAGCCCATTGGCCGATCAATGTCTCGTTGCACTCTGAGATTACATTCCTGACTGTCCACTACACCACCAATTTTGTTGTCATCTGCAAACTTATTAACCATACCTTCTATATTCACGTCGAAATCATTTATATAAATGACAAATAGCAGTAGACCCAGCACTGATCCTTGCAGCACACCATTGGTTACAGGCATCCAGTATAAATAACAATCCTCCACCACCACCCACTGTCTCCTACCTGTGAGCCAATTATGATCCAAAGTCCTAGTCATTTCTCCCTGAAAAACGTATGCCTTAGAAGGGAAAAATGCATGTTCCAGCACCCGGAGTGATCTAATTGGGCTACAGGATCAACAAGACTGGGTTTCACCCACTGGAAGATAAAGTGAGGGTGATCAAAGGTGCCTCGACTCCCATGTCTGTACTGGAGCTCAGGTCTTTCCTTGTGCTGGTGAATTATTATGGAAAGTTCAGACATAACCTGGCCTCCATCCTGGCACCTTCGCATCAAGTCTTAAAATAAGTTCACCTTGAAAATGGTCGAGTAGCCAAGCCGTAGCTTTCAGGGAAGTGAAGAAACAGATATCATCCTCTAAGGCGCTGGCACATTATGGTTCTAAGCAAGATCTGGTATTGGCATGTAATGCCTCTTCATACAGCACTGGGGTAGTATTAGCTCATAGGTGGCCCAATGGAGAGGAACACCCAATAGAGTATGCATCCAGGACTTTGGCATAAATACACCCAGATAGAGAAGGAAGGTTTGGCAGTCATATTTAAATCAGGAATTCATCCAATACCTTTACAGTAAATTTGTATTAATAATGGACCACAAATCCCTGCCAGGTCTGCTTAAAGAGGACAAGGCAGTGCTGCTCATTGCTTCAGATCATATTCAGCTCTAATACTAAGTGCATATAATTACAAGTTGGAACATGGCCCAGGAGGCCAAAGAGCAATTGCGGATGCTTTGAGCCACCTCTTGCTGGTAGATACACAACCGGTGGTCTGTCACAATCACGTTCTTCCAATAGTGTGATGACAGGAACTGCACACAGTTTTCCACCTGTGCCTAACCAATTTTTATAAAGTTTTAGTAAGACTTCCTTGCTCCTACATTAAACGCCCTGGTTACTGAAGGCAAGCATTCTCTATGCCTTCTTCACCATTCTGCCTACCTCTGCTGACACCTTCAGAGATCTATTAACTTGTACATCAAGGTTCCTTTGTTCCTCAGTACTCCACAAAGACCTACAATTCATTGTGTATGTCCTTCCCTTATTAAACCTCGCAAAATGCATCATATTGCACTTATTAGGATTAAACTCTAACTGCTGTTGCTCTGCGAAATTTACCAGCTAATCAATTTCAGACTATAGCCTGAGACTGTCTACCTCAGTATCAACAAATTTAGAGAAACATACAATTCAATGCATTGGCCTTGTTGCAAAGCATATTATATCAAATCAGGGTCAGTTCAAATTAAGATTAAAGTTGTATATTGTTTGAGTTATGAACAGACACTAGTTGTATACTGCAAAAAGTAGGTAAACTGTAACTAAGGGCTGATTTTACTCAGCCTCTAAGACAGACCAGGATTTGGGAAGGCTGACAAAATGACATGTGAAGGCATTGGTACTGTGCCAGGTTTTGATACTGGTACTTTCTTTGTCACCAGTGGAAAAGATGGCAGATTCCTTGCCTAAAGACCAAATGAATTCTTTAATAGTCAATTAAAAGCCACTTCTCACCTCCACATACATTTTGATAGCAGCAAGAAAGTCTATTACTGTCTGAGGAGATTGGCTGCTGAAACCTACAGGCCCCCCAGTGGATTTAATGAGGGGAGTGCTTGCAGTTTGGATACAAGGAGCAGCTTCACAGCTGCAATGGCTGCACCTGTGGCAATGGTGTTGTCTGACAACCAAGGTCATCTCCCGCTCCCCCTCTTCTGAATGCCTGTCTCCCCAACTCTCTTTGAGGGCACTGGCCACTGAAGCATTCTCATTCTGCAGGTTCAGCCCAGCAATGGCCACTGATAGAAGTGATATTACTGAGCTGATTGGTTCAACAATTCTTGGGGCCGAGTCACTGTCCTTAACATGAGCTGCTGCACTTGTGCGGTCACCTTTCCAATCCTGAAAATGAAACAGTTTAACACCTGAATCCTATTCTAGTCCAATTCCTAACAAGAGTGATGTGAGACCTGCTGGAGGAGGTGTAACAATACTTGAGATTGTCAATGAATTGAAGTTAATTTCAGTGTACTGTGTAAAGATGGGTTTAAAGAGTGCTTTAAATTCTTTTCATTCAATTGAATTGAGGGAAGCAAATTAAAGATTTAAACGGTGGTTAACACCGTGAACCTACAAATTGAGTGTGTGGATGCAAACTCTTTCTTGACGAGGAGAATTTAGATCGAAACCTATAAATACTGTATTGCCTAACAATCTAAAATGATAAAACCTCAATCTTTTTTTCAGTATACTCCGAATGTAATTATTCAAGGAATTTATTTATGAATTTCTGTCAGTGAATTATTAAAATGATTTAACTACTGTGTTAAAATTTGGTTCAACACTTCTTTCTACAATTTATATAACTTG